TGGTTTTCTTGGACAAAGGTTCACTCCATTGAGGAGCAAATGTTGCCGTCTTTCTTTAATGGGAAGTCTGTGACTCGGACTCCTGACGTATACTTAGAGATACGTAATTGCATCATGAAGAAATTCAACGCAAATCCGGGCACATTTATTGAATTAAAGGACTTGTTGGAGCTTGAAGTTGGAGAATTTGATGCTAGACAAGAAATAATGGAATTTTTGGACCATTGGGGTTTGATTAATTTCCACCCATTCCCACCAACAGGTTCTTCTGTGGCCAGCATCGACGGTGATGGAGTGGTTGAAAAGGATTCTTTGGTTGATAAGTTGTATCACTTTGAAGCATTACAATCACGCTCATCAGTTGTTCCCAAGACTAATATAACGACCCCAACAGTGCTATCTGGGTTGTTTCCCGATTCTGCAATTGCTGAAGAGTTGGTTAGGCCTGAAGGGCCAGCTGTTGAGTACCATTGCAACTCTTGTTCAGCTGATTGCTCACGCAAGCGCTACCATTGCCAGAAGCAGGTTGGTTCTTTTATAACGATTGTTGATTTTATTAATGAATTTTGTAGTTGTGCTTGCTTTTGGTTATACACCTTGCTAACCTTCATTTTATCCAACTGTTGGTCCTAAACACGAAGATTATTGTTAGTTAGAAAAACAAGTCATTTTGCCAAACTTCCATTGTTTCGTATTTGGTATGCCTGAAGTGTGTGGTTATTATGCGATCAAACTATTGTTTATATGAAGCTATATCTCTCCAGATCACAGTTGTCAGGTCCACAATAATTTTATTCTCGGGGAAGTTGGCAGCTATCACCTGCTGACATTAGATTGTTAATACTCCCTGGTGATTACTTTTTGCTATTGTTTTAAAGTAACTTTCTGTTATTTATAAGGCATTCCACCACAAGAAGTCTATCTAGAATAGTTTCCATGTCATGTCGATGGAAGTTTCTTTTTGATGATATGGATGTCATCATTATATAAATTATCTTCTTCATATTTCCACTCCCTGTGTACTTTTATTGTTTTTGCTGATTACTTTCATTTTAACAGGCAGATTTTGATCTATGCACTGATTGCTTTAATAATGGGAAATTCGACTCTGGCATGTCTTCGTCAGATTTCATTCTTATGGAGCCTGCTGAAGTTCCAAGTGTAAGTGGTGGGAACTGGACTGATCAGGAGACTCTCCTTCTCCTTGAAGCATTAGAACTTTATAAAGAAAACTGGAATGAGATTGCTGAACATGTTGCAACAAAAACAAAAGCTCAATGTATACTGCACTTTGTTCAAATGCCAATTGAGGACACTTTTCTTGATTATGACGATGGTTTTGATGGTAGTGCCAAAGAGACTGCATGTCCAACTTCAACCGGAAATGATTTATCGGCCCCCAAAGGTGCCTCTGAAGCAACAGAGAATAAGACTGCTGTTAGTGCGAGTGACCCCCAAACTTTCCCGATTGAAACTTCAAAAGAAGTGACTGAAGTAAACATTGGACAGGATACTTCAAAGCCAGAAGATTTAAATGAAGTCAAAGACGGTCAGGAAACTTCAAAATTGGAAGATACCAGTGAATTGAAAGTTGATCAAGAAACAGATGAGAATTTTGCACTAAAGGCTCTTAAAGAAGCATTCGAAGTTGTTGGTTATTCTCCAACACCTGAAGGTCAACTTTCATTTACAAAAGTGGGAAACCCTGCCATGGCATTGGTAAGCTGACTGCTTATGTGCGGGTATATGGAGCATCTCTAGGTCATAGGACTCTAAGTAAATCTGTTGAACACGTCCCACAAAGAAATAAATAGCTAAAAGAGTAACTTAAGTTGTTTATTAACTCACATATTAGTGTATAAGTGCTTTAAAATAAACTGAAGTGATCCAACATTGTGACATACACTTCACATGGTTAGCCAAATTGAATTTAGCTTTAACAGTGCATTGCTGGTAAAAATACTTAATCAGGGAACGTTCTTTTGAAAATTGCAACAACTTACACTAATTTTATATCTTTAGTGTGCCTAGTGATTTTTGCAATTGCTTTCTGTATTATGTTTCAAACTATCAAATCAGGTGCAGAGAAATTTCTTGCGTATTGGCAAACGTTGAGATAACTGACTGACTGTAATTTGTTACCTATGAACCTTTTCCTGTTTCTGCGTTTGAATTGATCTTCTATTGTATTATTCATTTTCAGTCATGCATGTTTAAGTATATGGATGATAACTGTATGTGTAAATGTATGAGTGCATGCATGTATGTGATGTCATTTACGGTTTACCAAACTTGCTCATATCCTGGGGCTTAAGCATTACCTTGCAATAAGCAAATATGTAACTCATACTTTGGCGTTCAGGTATTGCTAATGTGTCACTGCTTATAGGTTCCACTCTTTTACAGGCAGCATTCCTAGCACGTTTGGTGGGACCTGATGCTGCTATTGCTTCAGCACATAATTCTTTGAAATATATATCTGCCAGTTGTGGTATTGCGCTGGCTGCAAGGCATTGCTTTATTTTGGAAGATCCACCGAATGGCAGTAAGGAACATGCTGGTCCTGATAGGTATGCTATTTGTTGTGGAGAATTTATCCTCTACCAGTTTTTGTATATTCTATCTGATGTGAGTGATGTTTTTGCAGTGTTTCTGCTGAAGTGGAAGCACAGAAAGACAAAGTCAATGAAGACAAAAGCCAGAAAGAGGATAACTCCACCTCAGGTTTGGAAGATAAAGATTCATCAAATAATAGCAGTGACAAGAAACTTGAAAAATCTTCTTCTGAAGAAAAGTCGCAATCTGCAAAAGAACAAGATGGCGTAGTTTCTGATGAGGAAGTAGGAACTGAAAATTTGAAGAACTCAGACAAGTTAGAGTTTCCAAGGGTTGAATCACCAACTACTGTGGAGGACACAACCGATTCAAAAGTGGAGACAGGGCATCAAACAAGTTCTGAGAAGGAATCAGGACGAGCAGGAAAGCCTTCTGAACCTACAGAGCCAGTAACTGATGTGGATATGTCTGATTCAGCTCCCCCTACAAAAAATGAGATTCAACAGCCAATTACGTCGAATTCAGTAGAGGAACCTCCTCAATCTAAAGAGGCAACAAAAGATGTAGATGTATCTAATTCTCTGGCTACAGAAATAAATGGACCTCAACCAGTGGTTACTGCCAAATCAGAAGAACCGCCTGAACCTACAGAGGTACCAAAGGATGTGGATATGGTGTGTGATTCTCAGACCCCACAAAAGGATGAGCCTCAGCAACCAGTTACATCAAATTCAGTGGTTGAAAAGGAAGCAAGTACGTCTCTGACTCTTCTCTCTCGTATCCTGGAATTATTTTTAATTTTCTTTAGATATCTGGGAATGGTTCTTCTGCTTGCCAGCTTTGGTTGGATCATTAATACTGTGTAACACCAGCTGAAAAAAGGAAACAGTTTGTCCATGAGTTTCATGAATTTCAAGTTCAATGCCCGTGATTTACTGATCTCCTGTTTGTTTGTACTTTCCAGGTGACGATCAAACTAAAGATGGTAAAATAGAAAAACATGACAGTATGGAGACAAAGGTGGGTGAGAAAATTGATAAACTAAAGCTTGCTGCAGTTTCTGCAGTGTCAGCGGCTGCAGTGAAGGCAAAGCTTCTAGCAGAACAGGAAGAAGATCAAACCCGACAACTTGCAGCAATGTTGGTGGAGAAGCAGGTCACACCAAATGCCAAAATGCCTACCTATTGTTTGTTTGCTATTAATTATAGTTAACTTTTTGAAGGTTTCTGTTTAACTGCAGTTGCATAAGTTGGACGCCAAATTAGGATTCTTTAACGAGATGGAACATGTTGTAATGAGGGTAAGAGAGCAATTGGACAGGTCAAGACAGAAGCTCTACCATGAGCGGGCACAGATAATTGCATCTCGCCTTGGTGTACCAGGTTCATCTAGAGGCATGCCATCATCAATTCCTGCCAATAGAATGGCCATGAATATTGCAAACTCAGTTCCAAGGCCCACGCTAGGCATGACTTCCCAAAGGCCACCTATGTCAAGACCGATGGGGGCAGCTGCCCCGACTCCGTCAAACCAATTTTCAGCCACAACATTGGCAGGAAGTTCAATATGGCCTCCCAGAAAGGACAAACTTTCATCAGTTGGGTCCAAGTAAACACCTGAGAACTTGTGAATAGATATTAATTATTCTTCTGCAGCCATCATCAATTATCTTTTGTACCAAGAGCGAGCTAGAGATGGGCAGATTGGTGGTTGCTCTTCTGCTACACTGAAACAGCCTCTCCCCATGCCTGCCGATACTCCCATTTACAAAACAGACGAGGGCCTATCGGGGTAATTTTCAGTAATCCACTTTCTTCTGTTTTGGATATTTCAACTCTAACCATGGAAACCGTACGAGGTGACAAGCTAAGCAAAGAAAAAAAAAAAAAAGGATTCCACTGACAGCCCTAAAATCTTACTCAGGTAAACTGCCAAATTTGAAATTCTATCAGTGAGCCTTATGTAATTGAGTTTCTAACAATTTGGTGAATGCGTTGCAAAGTTTGTTTAATATCTTATGGCTTGACAGCGTTTGACTTGTTTATTGTAATATGGAGACCAAAATATGCATTTGCAGAGTTTGTTATCTACCCTATGCAAGCTTACATTCAAGTTAATTTCTGCCTGAAATTCTGCTGCTCATGTTACATTTTGGAGCAATTGGAATGTACATAAAGGCGCAATTGCCTTTCTTCTCGACTACTAGGGGCTTTCGATTGCAACACATACATGTTTGGATTTGATCCAACGCGATCCTCGGCCACTTAGTTTCAGCCGTTGGATCAAATCCAATGGTCAAATATGCGCTTCAGTTCCGCTACTAGTTTGCCCGTAAGTAACTTGTAGTAGGGGATACCATGGTTACTTGGCTTTGGGGCAGTTTCTCCGTGTTCAATACTCGAAATGCCTTGTCGAACCAGAGACGTTTTATCAATCCGTAAAAATCATTACAACTAATGAAAACTGCATTATTTTCCTGAAAATACAAGTAATACCGTATCCGTACTAACAATAACTGGACATCAATGGGATGAAATCAAACGTAACCTGGTCGGATCAAACACAACTTGGGAAGAAGGGCGCCATACAACCTAGCTGAAAAAGCATTGATGGGGAGCAATTTGTTTCCCACACAGACTAATGTACAGTGTCACCGCATACATACTGATAAATATACTTCCAAACATGACTTATTTTTCACTGGCAAAGAATTCGGGTACTATATTTAGCATTCGCAACCGGTTGACCTTGGCTGATTGCTGCTTCCAACATCAATGGTATCCGGCAAGTATCTACATGAAGCAAAAAAACAAAATAGAACAATATCAACAGATGAGCAATGGAAAAATTATCTCTCTCAAACGGTTGAATTTATGTAATACTCAAAAAAATAAAAGTAAAAATCAGTATAGCTATCGTCACTTGCTAATACCAATATTTAGCGAATGAAGTAAAATGTATGATATACACTAACCATAAGTTTCCTAGAATAAAGCACACGCAGAACCATAAGATTGAAACTAAAGGACATCATGCAACACCAATTTTGATTATTTGAGACGTGTTATATGTCAGTGGGACAGCTGTTATATTTTGAGAATGTTGAACAAAGTTCTAAGAAAAACAACTAAATTGAACAGGTGATCTGTAATGTTGCCTCAAAGTTTAATTCCGAATGAAAATAATTGCCTAGTACAAGATGATTCAACTTGTGATGCAAAGCAAATGAAATGAATTATCAAAATACAAGGGAGCATGGCAGGTGCATAGCGTAGGGTTCCAGGTTCAACTTACATTTCTTCCTCTTCCCCACTCTTCAGAGCGTCCTTTGCTATGCACTGGAAAGCTTCTTCCACATTAATGCCTTCCTTTGCAGAGGTTTCATAGTATGGAATATTTCCTTTTGATGCACACCAAGCTCGAGCCTTTTTCTCTGAAACCTGGAGAATAAACAAAAAAATGACATGTAGACTTGAAGCACATGGGATAGCAAATCATATGTTCATGAAAGGGTGAGAGCTAAGTGTGTGCATGTAAGAAAAAGAGAAGATGATTTTTCTTTTCCAAGTAGAGATGCATACCACTCGACTATTTCCACCATCTACATCAATCTTGTTTCCAATAACGACAAATGGGAAATTTTCTGGATCTGAAGGACTCGCCTGTAGAAGATTTTGTCATCATAAGTTCAACTGCTCCTTTTTATTAATAAATGGAAATGGAAGTTATCCAAAAAAGAAAATGACATTAACAGAGAGTTTGAAAGAAATGAAATTCTTGAGGAAGAAAGAGAGGAAAAAAACCAAAGACACCTGAATGAGAAATTCTTCCCTCCAGTTGTTAAGGTTATCAAATGACTTCATTGAATTCACATCATACACAAGAACACAGCAATCAGCACCACGGTAAAAAGCTACACCAAGGCTTTGGAATCGTTCTTGGCCAGCTGTATCCCAGATCTAATAAAACGAATCAAATAAGATCTGACTGTTAGACACAATTAGCCGCTGAAAAATGTATGAGGTTAAGGCCTTAGGCCTTAACAAGCACTCCCGAGTTAAACTCATGATTAGATTGTTTTTCATGAACTCTACTTGGTGTTGATTTTAATTCCCCTTAGTTGATCTTGTTTACCGATAGTCTCCGGTGTTATGCAAACTTATAAGATGATGCTATACAAATATATGAACACTATAGTAAACATGCCACACACAAACACAAAGAATTTAGCAAGGTAAACAAACTTTGCCTACTCCGTGTTTGATCTCTCTCGAGAAATCACCTGTATTATTAAGAATAACAACTCGGTTACAAGAACTTATTGAAAACACTTAGGCTAAACTCCAAAACCTAGCTGTAGATCTCTCTATCACTCTTGGCTCTCTACCCTTGTATTCTCTCTGCTTATCATGTGAATAAACAGCCCCCAACAAGGCTATTTATAGTACATAGAGTCATAGATCGATGGTTACATGCCTAACAGGTGTAGAATTCCTAAATCCTTTTAGAATAGGGAATACTAACTTATTTCATAATCCAAAACTGATTGGGATCACAAAGAAAAACCGATTTCCCAATTCTTATGGGAAATAACCTGTGCACATTCCTCTTCTCCTTTCCCAACACCAATTGAAAACCTACCTAATTGGCCTTGGTATTTTGACGAGCCAAATCACAACAATTGGTTATGCTAAAAACAAACATATTTACCTAGATTACAATCTTCACCCAATAGCCATACAAGACGCCTTGTTTCACAATGATTAATTAAGATAACAAGCAATTAACAATCCATTCATCTCTGATACTTTGATTTCCATAAATGAACAGCTTGAAACCCTTTCATATTGCTGAAATCAATATACTAGAGGAAGAGAGCAAGCGGAAGGGAGGGAGAGAGGGAAAGAGGGAGCGAGGTACCAATTTACAATTAGCCTGTCTATACAGAAACTTAATTTGGTTGATAGATAAAAACCAAACCAGACGCCTAAACACATAAAAACTTGAAGGAAAAGGAATAATTGAACAACGTATGGCAGTCAACAATTATCAGGAAGGCTACACAGTTTAAAATGTGTGAAAATCTTAACAACTGTAACGGTTAGAGGGGAGAGAATGAAGGCATAATGAAAGTTCAGGTTGCTATATTAAAAAAAAAAGGGGTGAAAGTTCAGCTTCCTCAATAGTGAACGCAGATTAATCATTAATGCGATTTCTAGTCTTTATGGACAGAAACAAAGCAGTTTTTGTGAATCCTTCTCTACAGTGACAGTAGAGAAAGTAGTAACAAATATAGGGGCAAAAATGCTAGCCCGCGCACGCAAAAATTAACAAGTTATATTTTCAATTGACTTCCAAAAAGGCATCAGCTGAGAATCTATAAAGGCCACTATTTGTCCAATCAGTACCAATCCAATAAAAAGGCATTAGAACTAGAAAAACCTGTAAGGTGAAGAGCCTGTCTTCAAACTGCACTTCTTTTGTCAAAAAATCAGCTCCGATTGTCGCCTTGTACTGATTGCTAAACTTCTTGTTTACATATCTATGCGAATCTTGTTAAAGGGCAAACCCAAAATCCACTAAATCAAAATTACTTCAACTAAACAACCAAAGGATTACATACAAAATTAAATGACCCAAGTACTCTAATTCAACATCCAAGCTTCCAAAGGATACTGATTCATCAAAGAAGTCTTCCCCACCCTGCAAATCACAAATCAAACAAACCCCTTTATTTTACCAAAAAAAACAGAAAGTAATCTTTATCCTAACAAGTATATAACAATTTCATCACTACCCATCATCCAATTTTCCTTTTTAGAAAAACAAAATACTGAATTCCTAACTTGTAATAAGAGACCAACATTTGGGTTCAGATCATAGTCTGTAAAGTAAGATCCAGAAAGATCCGCCCAATTTCAAAACATAAAACCCTAAAACGGACAAATAATTCAAGCGAAAAGAGAAGGAGACGGAGGGAGACAGACCCGCTGTCGCCGAGGATGATGACCTTTAAGAGCGTTCTTCTCCGAGACGGCATCGTTTTGAGAGAGAAATGGGAAGGATCTAAGGAATTGGGAGGTGTGAGGCGATAGCAGAGCTAGATTTTGGGTTCTGGATGTTTTTTCTCTCTCAGAGAAGAGAAGAGAAGATGGTCGGAGCTTCCAAGTCTTGTTAGACTTCCCTGGTCATCCAAGGCTAGCAATCTTACAATAATAGGCTAATAATAATGTACTTTAAATAGATTTTTTTTTAACATAAAACCTCTTGACATACAATAGAACAGAAATATCATTAAATTGTACTAAGTGGCAGCAATCCATTTTTTAATACCCAAATTATCCCTCTTCCATTAAGGATTTCCAACCAAAAAAGAAAAAAATTCACACTAAAAAATACATAGTGGGAATGTGAGTGGTTCGCACGTTCATTATTTTTAAAATATATTTTAATAAAAAAATAAACAATAAATAAAAAGAGTCAATTGCCACACGCGTATACTAATTCAATGTGAAACCTTATTGATTTTTTTAAGTAATCGATGTTAAGGCAGTGGACTTGTATTCCATAATCACTCATTTGTTTACCCTCACTAAGGGCTGGTTTGGTATTGTTGTGCTTTGAAAAAAAATTGATTCTGCTATGCTGTGAGAATAAGCTCATTTTTGCTACTTTACGTTTTCAGCTTTTTTTCATCCAAAACTGTGAAAATAAGTTGTTTTTAAGTGTTTACCAAACACATTTTTTAGCTCAGTTTTGTTTTATACTCATTTTTTATAAAAACACTTTAGTACCAAACCAGTACTAAGTGGGACTAGCTAAGCTTTAGTTGAGTCCCATGTTTGGTAGGCAGAGGGATTACGTTTAATGGGATAAAACTGAACTCGCTCAAACAAACTCCTTCGCTAAGAGTTCTTAGCAAGGACCCCTAAATTTCACAGTAATACTAAGAGCGTCTTGCGAGAGAGATGTCCTACTCCTTCACCCTCGTCCTGTTGCCCTCATTTGTGTCCTACTCGCTCTCATTTGCTTCTTAAATTTTGAATTTGACGATTTTCTTCTTCAATTTTGTTTTGCTGATCATGAACGACTTCGATTTTGTTTGGTAAATTATTATTGGGTTATGAACGACTTCGTTGTTTTGGGTTCAAAAACTTTTCAATAATTGATCTGTGCAGTTGAAAAAATTATTTTTAGGTTCGAATAGATATTAGAATTTGGGGTTTTCAAATTTCAACTTTTCTGCGTTCTCACTATTGTTTCTTCATATGATTGACACCTTCTGATCTCTAATAGTTATCATAAAGTGGATTTGATATAAATTTCATCTGCTAGTTCTCAGTGTTTTTACTGGAGTGGATTTGATATGTGTGTGTGTGTGTGTGTGTGTGTGTGTGTGTGTGAATTTCATCTAATATTTGTTCTACCATCATTGAATTTAATCTAACAATTGATAGGTATATAGTCTATAAGTGTATGCGTCTGTACGTATGTATGTACTCTGTGTGTGTGGGTGTGTGTATGTACTCTGTGTGTGTGTCCATGTATGCTGATTTTGGGTGTGTGTGTGTGTGTGTTGATGTATGCTAATTTTGTGTGTGCGCACTCTGTGTGTGCACGTTGTGTATCCATGTACTCTGTGTGTGTGTGTGTTGATGTATGCAAGTTGTGTGTGTGTGCTCTGTGTGTGTGTGTGTTGATGTATGCAAGTTGTGTGTGTGTGTGTGTGCTCTGTGTGTACGTACTAAGCAACATATATAAACAGTTTCCACTGGAGTCCAACTCCACAAATACTTAATAGTTTCACAGTTAGTAACAAGAAAAGAGACCATATAAAGTGATTCTCATTCTTTTTAAATTGATCATTCATTTGTTTATTGTATGAGTAAAAGCGAAAACAGCAAAACTAAATGATGGATTTCAGGCCACGAGTATGAGCTAAAGCTAAAAAAGCATACATCCACATTACATATAGAAATCATATGCCTATTGGCTATAAATAAAGCTTGCTAACTGGAATAATTAGATTATTTGTGTCATGTATATGGATAAATAAACTTGCATAATTAGGATAAATTGCACAGCAATTATATAAATTAGAAATCATTCCCTTTCAACATAAATAAATTATTAGCAATGGATACACCTTACTAACCTTTGCTAGAAATAAGAATCTTGGGACATTCAGTGAGTGATTTTTCAAACTTTCACTTTTACAATACAAAATGTCCATTTTGTGTGTATTCTTCAAGCATGTTATCATTATTTTTAGATTGTAGGAAAAAAAAAAAGAGAGAGAATGATATGATTTCATGACTTTAAAAAGCCAATCTTTGTAGCACTCTTGTCTCTTAAAATTGTTGTCTTTGTAGCACTCTTGTCTCTTAAAACCATTGTCTTTATAAAAGAAGGGGGTTTATGTATTTATTTTTTAATAATTTAGCCAAAACGTTGCACTTTGGGCCAAGTCATCTAAAAAATAAATAAAATAATCCCCTTCTCTTCTAAAGGATAGCCGCCTTTACTCTCTAAAATCTGGAAGCGGATTCTCTCCGGATCCACTTTGTGGGGATCCTAGAAATTCTCACATCATAGTCATTCATTGTATATCTTGCTGTCAATTTTTGTCATATACTATTTGTGTTTAATTTTAAATAAAAATGTCAAATGAATTCTGATCGCACAATAAATGGTTAAGATGTGAAGATCACTAGAATCCCTACAATTTGAATTTGAATGGTTTCAAATCCCCAAAATCTCTCAACTTTCTAACCACATCTGTTGCCCAACCTCTATTTTCTCGCTCCACCACATTTGTTGCCCCCCACCAACAAGCTCTGATTTTTCTTCAAAAAAAAAAAAATTGATTTTTTCTTTTGAAAATTTAATTGGGTATTGGGTATTTGGATTGGGCATATTTAAAATTTTTGATAAGGATAATAGAGGAAAATTAGTATGGTTTTTAATATATGTAATATATATATATATATATAAATTATTATAATTTAATCGTCGTGTCCTAGTTGTATCTGTGTCATTGTTTTTTGAGATTTGCCATGTCTTTGTGTAACATCCTACATTGCCCAATGGAGTGGATCATGTAAGCCTTATATGTATATTCTCATATCTACCTAGAATGAGGCCTTTTGGGAGCTCACTGGCTTCGGGTTTCATCAGAACTCTGAAGTTAAGCTAGTTCGCGCAAGAGCATTCCCAGGATGGGTGACCTACTAGGAAGTTCTCGTGTGAGTTCATATAAACAAAATCGTGAATGTGTGGTCAGGGCCCACTGTGGACAATATCGTGCTAATGCGGAGTCGAGCCCAGGATGTTGTAAGGACCCGGGCCGGGATGTGATACTCTGTGTCTCCATGTTGCTTGTCGCCGTATTCGTGTCTGTGTCTGTGCAACCTAGGTTATGGATACTGCTATATGGTTGTGGTGGTCAACTTGACTTGCCCACTAAGCTTTTGCTAACATTGTTCCTTCAAAGGCTTCCCATGCTTTCCCAACCACTGTTCTAAAAATACCCGCCTAGCGCTGCCTAGGCGCTAAATGTCTAGTCACCGTCCCGATTAATGCCTAGGCATTTGAAAATTAAGAAAGGGCACCTATACATGCTGAGACGCTCGCCTAAGCACCCCTATAGCCCGCCTAGACACACCCAGGTTGCGACTCACTTAGACAGAAAATAGATAACTTTCATTTGCATTTTATTTTTTTCAATAAATTGTAAGAGATTTGTTGAATACTTAAATGAACACACATTATATGCTTGTTCTCCATATTTTCATTATGTTCCAATGGTTCATAGTATATATGTTATTCTATTTTGTAGTTTATGATGATATTATATATATTTTAAGTATAAACAAGCACTTATTTACACGAAATATAATAAATTTACTTAAATCCGCCTAGTCCGCCTAGGCGCTAAGCCCCAACCCACCGCCCAACTAGCGCCTAACGTCTTTTAGAACCTTATTCCCAACTTTGAAATTTGTGCTCATGCTTTTATGAGTTTCTATAAAATCCTAATTTTTTTTCGGTTATCTTTAATCTATAACCTTTCAGGCATTCAAGAAGAAGTTGTTGAGGCTTGTGACATAGCAACGAATCTACGATCAAATGTCGGGGACTGAATGTTATGACCAACTTTGACATAACATGGTATGATGTGGATTGGATTATGTCAAGCGATACCCTCCTTGCCGGTGAACTTGCTAAGTGAAGTAAGGAGCTTGTGCCCGTTAATGAGATTATCAACTCTGCTTGAGATCTTTACTACTGTAGTTTTTACTTGCTATATAAACATTTGACATTCCCGCGGTAACGCGTGGGCTAAATCTCTAGTGATTATTATTATTACTAGCTCAAAAATGTATAAATTGTTCATGATCTCTTCCTTTTGCATATTGTTACTGGTTTTCTTCAAACTAATTGGAGCAAGCCAATTTACATGCTTTGAATCCAAATGTAGCAATGATCAAGGCTCAGCTATCCATCTGTCAGTGTGCATCACGCATCATTATCACTATTACATTTAACTATTTGCATGACGAACAAAAGTTGGTCCTGCAAAGTGTATTTTCGTCGTACAAACGTTTGCACGACGGAAACTTCGTCGCGCAAAGATCGTGAAGAAAGACTTTGCGTGACGAACAATAGCATTGGTTGCAAGAACGAGGCGCAACAGTTTAGCCTTCGTTGCACAAAATTTTTAGGAATGAATGTGTTCGTCGCACAAAATACCAGGATACAAACGTGGGACGACTAATATTCGTCTCTCGAAACTTTGCGCGACGACATTTTATTCTTGCACAATGAAACCTTGTTAGTCTCTAGAATTTTGCAAGACGAAGGTATTTGTCGTGCAAAAAGAAAAATACATTCTTTTTTAAATTTAATTTTTTGTTCTATTTTAAAAATTTTGTAATAAAATAATAAAATTAAATTGCAATAAAAAAATGTAATAAAGAGAAAAATAATTTATTTAAATAAATATAAAATGTATGTATACCTAAACACTAAAGCAGCCCTCTATAATTATAGTGCATAACGTAGTGGCATTCCGCACATGTTTGTACAATCCATACACAAATGAACAGAACGACTCAATCACTAGTGAAAAAATCATAACTGTTTGTACCATACTTGATCAATCCCGAAACTACTGAGCACCGGTCAACGTTATACCGTCGAGGACCCAAAAGAG